AAAGTAACTCTTTAGTCTGTGTTTTTATTTTTAATTTTTAACAACTAGTCACTCCGAGTTTCTTGTTTTAACGACTCATCAGTTTCTTCTCTTACTCAGAATTCAAATCAATCTATGTGACGCGCATCTTTGATTTCTTAACCAAAATTTAATTTTGAGGGATACCGAACAATGTGTTTCGCGTACCGAGAACTAAAGAAAGATTTCTATGACAATTGGGCGGACAAGTACCAAGCAGCTCTCAAGTGCTCTGAAGAAAGTGTTAGAAATACGTTGGTTACTGAAATTGTTGAAACAGTTGAGAAGAATCTCAATTTAGTCGGCGTATCACTTTTAGAAGACAAACTGCAAGAGGTTTAATTTTTAATTCTTGTGGCAAACGCTTTTTGATTTGAAGCAATATAACAGACTGAAATTGCTGTTCGTTCGCTACCTTAATTGCTCTTTTTTGCAATACTCTTTTATTCCTTCTTTCCTCTATAATGTTATGGTTGAAAATTTTCTGTAAGTATCACTGTGATTTTTTTAACATTACGGTCGTCATATGTACGTAAGCTATTGAGAACGTGCGCTTTTCTGTATTTGGCGGCGTACTGAAAAAATTGATAAGCCTCTTTCTGAAAGCAATGTTTACCCCACCTTGAGTCTTAAAATATTATACTTTATAAGTTGAACTCTTAGAAATAAACAGTTTTATTTTACATACGTCTGGTTTTCAGAAGGTTCCTGAAACAATAAGATTTCTAATAGAAGCGGGGATTCGTGTGTATATTTTAACTGGAGACGTGTATGAAACTGCAGTTGCAGTTGCTCGTTCTTGTGGCTTTTTTCAAGAAAAGACCGTTTCTCTTCACCTCGCTTTTAAAGATGAATCAGCCGTTTTTCCACAAATCAGAGAGCTTTTACAAGAAGGCACGAAATTGCGGAAAACAGGAGCGGACATTCTCTTGGTTATTAGTGGCGCGGTAAGTTGATTTCGTTCTATAGGTTTAGAAATGGTCTTGTGAAGACGCAGTCTCACAATTTTCCGCTTCTCAAATCTTAATTTTTTTCTTATTTTATCGTAGCAAACGCTAGGTTGCTCACTTTTTTCTCTATTCACTTCTTAATGATGTATATAAGTACTATCGTACTTAACGTGATCAAAAATGTTTTGCAATAAAATAAAGTTTCATTAAATCTCTATTTTACTTCAAATCTTTATACAGAAGAAACCAAAAGCATGTAGAGATTTTTTTCGACTATCCTTTTTCTGTTGCAGCTTATCTTAATTTATTTCACTGCTCAAACATAGAACATTCTTAATCGGTATTACTAGGTTGCCGTTGAGCAAAGCAGTGTTCATATCAATTTCTCTTAACGTTTTTGTATCTATTTCAGGCCTTGCAGCATGCTGCTAAAACACCCTGCCGAAGGAAACTGCTGAAACTTTTAATGCTGTGTCGTTCTGTGATCTGTTACCGTATGTCCCCCAGGGGAAAAGCAGATGTTGTCGAGATGGTTCAGGACAATGGAAGGAATGTAGTGTTAGCTATTGGGGATGGAGCGAACGATATTCCGATGATTCAAGTCAGTGACTGTAGAAATAGAGTGTATTTATAAAATTCAAGCTATAATTTTCTTTCTTTTTCAGGCAGCAAATATTGGAGTTGGAATTTGCGGAAACGAAGGTCTGCAGGCAGCATCTGCTAGTGACTACAGTATAGGACGATTTTACTTCCTTAAGAGATTGCTGTTTATTCATGGAGCTTGGAATTTCCAGCGCACTGCAAAGGCCTGTTTTTTCAAGCCTAGAGGGCAGTATTTTTGATCGTTTGTTCAGTTAGTTGCACAATTAACTTCGCGTTTTTTAGGCAACACTGTTCTTTTTCTACAAGAATATTTGCTTCTTTCTGACTGAACTATGGTTTACACATTTTTCTGCTTTTTCGGGTCGAGCCTTCTATGATTCGCTGTCTTTGGCTTTGTTTAATGCGCTTTTCTCAGCGCTTGAACCGTTCATGATAGGAATACTTTTCAAGCCATTCTCTGACAAGGAGCTGCTTGAGCAACCTGCGAAGTATAGAACCTTACAGAGGACGACCTTTACAAACGCCGTTAGTCATTTTAAAGTTTCGCTGATAACGCTATTGATTCCTTTTGAGATTAAATGATAAAATGTCATTGTGACGTAAAAGCGCTAGTGCTTCAAGTTGTATAAAATTCCTATATAAATATAAAAAGGTTTGAGTTTTCGTTATACCTCACTGTCGATAATGCACAAGGCTGAAGACTATTCTATAAAGAGAAAGTATTGAATGAAAGATGGGAATTGTTAACAGAAATTTCAATTTTTTGAATGTCTTTTACTGGCAAATTCTTTCCATTAAAGTTCTTTATTATTCAGTTTTCAATTTATTTCTTCAGTCAAAAACCGAATTACTATTTTTATACTTCTTACCTTCTACTTTTTTTATCGCTGTTTTCTTAGAATCCACCTTTACAAAAACCATTGGTACTGACTTTACTCGATTCTTCATCAAAACATATAATGGAGTTACTAGGTGAGTGCGTGCAAAGACAGCTGATACGTTTTAGGAGTTTGTGAAAGTCATTTGCCTGTCATTGCTCCATTCGGCGGCACTCTTTTGCTGTTCTTTCTTCTTTTTATCTAATTCAGTAGTGTGGAGTAACGGACGCACGGGAGGATGGCTAATGTTTGGAAGCTCATGTTACGCGGTAGGTTTTAACTACTTTTTATAGCTTTAAAATGACAAATTATTTTACCGTATTGTAGTTTGCTGTGATAACAATATCGCTAAAAGCTGTAATCGAGTGCTGTTCATGGGCAGTTACATCCGTCTTTTCAACAGTTATTACAATGATTCTGTGGACGTTGTACCTTTGGTTGTACTCATCTGTGAGCTCCATTAATCTACAGTGCAAATAAAGTTCATTTCTCATGTAATCAGTGCTTAAGCAGTTTTTTATTTCCGTTAGGTTTGCAAATATGCACCACTTTTTGGCGACATATGTGGAATGAGCGGTATAGTGTTTACATCTCCAAGCTTTTGGTTCGCTTGTGTTATCATCCCTGTTGTGGTCTTATCTCTGAAAGTTTTGATTGCGTACGTTTTCTTCTGGGTTTCGTGTAATTTAGCTCAACATAGTTTAATATTTCGATGCCTTCTATAAATCACTTTAATCATTTGCAGCGCTCTACGCACATCGGTCTGGGACACACGTAGCAGCAATCACATTTCTTCAGCGTAAGTTCACCGTTCACGCTCTCTGAGAATTTCTTAAATGGAAACTTTAAAAATTTCAGAGGAATTTATTTTTTTGCATTGGTTTGTTGACCATTTTTTTAATAAGTGCTTAGCTGTTTAATTTATCTAGTTTTTGCTTAAACCCTTTCAAGCACTCCTAAACCTGATCGTTGTTCATATTTTGCTGTTGGAGGCAGTTTAGGTCATTGACAGTGCCGAATTTTGAGCACTTGTATTTTGACAGATGACGCAAAAGTTGCATCTTTTTTGAAAAAGAAATCGATTTCCACTTTGAAATTTTTTAAATTACTTTTCTAGCATTATACCATTGTTATTTTCGCCAATTTCTGCAAAATGCAGCAGTTTGCAAAAGTTCTGCTTAAGAACAATGCAGTTACTTGCCGTTTTTTCTTATTACTGTTTATCTCGTTTTATAAGTCGTTACTTAGCCAACTAAACGATGACGATTTTGTCGTGCAACGTTATTTGGCCGACAGCGATGAAGAAGACGATGATGATTATGATGGTCAGGGTAGTGCAGCAGTTTATGAAAGCGTTAGAAGTGACGTATCCACAAAGACGCTAAGTAGATTAATCTATTAAAGACGAAATAAAATGTTCCAAAAACTTTTACAGGTGAGC